TTTTTTCTTTTTCCTTTCGAGGCTCTCACTCTTTTTCCTTAAATAATGGCAATCTCATTGAGATATAGGTGATGCTCCCCACAGCTCAGCCTACCGAAAATCCCCTCCCCAAGAGAGGGGTCACATGAGGGGATTTTGATCTGAGAAGCTCTGGCATTTTTCAAGGCTCTCAGCATGAATATTCCTACTTGTTTTCCATTTCTGAGCTGCTGGCATTGCCAACCCCACTGCAAACACGAGCGGACCCAACGCACGTGGGTTGTTGGGAAGGTTGGGTTGGGAGCAGAGCCCCTCCATGGCAGCCCATTTTGGGGTTGCTGTCCTGCTTGTTGCTTTCCTCAGCCCTGGATGAGCCTTGTGTAACTTCAGACCAGCTGATCTGGGGAGGCAGCTGGGCTGGCAAGCCCTCCTTGCTGAAGCAAGCATATTAAGAAAGCCCCAGCTAAGCTTTCCTGCTCATTAGCCCTGCTCCAGAGCAGCGGCGAGCACGGGGGTGTTTGAGAGGTAAAAAGTTCACACCGGGTTCAGAAGGTGTTTTGAAGGCTGTTGCTTGGTGGATAGGACCCTTGCCAAGGAACAGGAGTTTGGGTGTTAACAGGATGCTTTGAAGGTATCAGAGAAGCTGCTGGGTTTTCCACCTTGGGCATGGGATGCGGAGTAGCATGGGACCATGACTGAGCTGACTCTGTGAATAGAGTGTAGGGGGAAAAAAAAAAAGCAAATTGGGAGTGCAAGGAAGAGTCTCACGTTTGGGATTGGTTTTGGCATCCTCCCTGCAGGACAGCCCTTGTCAGCTCCGCAGCCATGGCCACCTCGGCGAGCTCCCACCTGAGCAAAGCCATCAAGCACATGTACATGAAGCTGCCGCAGGGGGAGAAGGTCCAAGCCATGTACATCTGGATCGATGGGACTGGGGAACACCTCCGCTGCAAAACCCGCACGCTGGACCACGAACCCAAGAGCCTGGAAGGTGAGAGGTGCGGGATTCGGAGTAGGTGCTTTTTTGGGAAGAGCTGAAGATGCTGCTCTTCATCCCCCCTCTGCTCACCTCCTGCTCCAGGTGCCCGGGGAGGAAGGTTCCCAGCTCTCCAGATGTGACATTGAGCATCGTGGCAGGGGTTGGGTGCCAGGCCCGGCGGAGGGGGCTCTTGGCATGGGATCCGTGGCCCATTGACTCTCAAGTGCTCGTTTTGGCCGGAAGTAGTTTGGCAGAAAGTGGAAG